ATAAAAATACAATACCAATGAGAGCAGCAGAGCTCACAAAGCATTGGGAGTGTTTTTTTTTTTTTTAATACATCTCATTTAATCTCCACCATAACCTTGTGTAATAGCTGCTGTTATAATCATCCCCATTTTATAGATGAGAAATCTGAGACTTAAAAGAATATGTAGCTTGCTAGAGATCAAATAGGTAGCAAGTGGCAGAGCTGGGATTTTAAATCAGACTGTCTGACTTAAGATCTCATATTGCCATTTCCAATGACTCTTTGGGAAGGCAGAGATAAGAAAGAGGAAGAAAACTTTAAGAGTAAGAGTGGGAGTCAGACTGCACCTGTTTTAATTATTGCTAAGCTCTATTGGTCCTACCCAGGCCCATTTGCTTGGTGGGGAGGCAAACTGACCAAAGATACTGTGGAAACTGCACAATGCGCTCAGTGACCAGGCTCCTTGCACCCCTTTCTCTTCATCGCAGGGGCAGTTTGGCTTCCTTTATATCCAGGCTCCTCCTTTCATCTTAATAGCTCCACCAGCTTTTCAAAGTCATTCCAATCTTGGAGTCCACGGCCTTGCTTTTCATCTCTTCTCCAGATCTTGGACCTGAGTCCTTCACTTCTATTTGAACTTAACCATCCACTTTGATGATTCAGGTCCCATTTCCTATAGTCCCAGTTCCTGCCTCCCAAATGCTGAAAGTTTGGCTCAGAACTCTAGGCCTGTGTAACATGCTCTATACATACTGTCAAACTTGCCCAGGTCAAAGGAACACCTGCTTCTATTGTTTCATTCATTTGTTGCATGTATGTATGGAGCTGAGAGAGTACCCACCAGGAGTTGTGCTGTATTAGATGCTAGGGATACAGAGGTGCCCAAGGATCTGCCAACAAAGAATTCATGACTGGCATAAAACAAACCAGTAGGTACTGCAGAGGATGAAGCCGTGTGATAGTTGAAAACAAGCAGCACTTAGGAGAAATACCTTCAGTCGTGTGTGTGTGTGTGTGTGTGTGTGTGTGTGTGTGTGTGTGTGTATGAACCTTGGGGATAAGGGACACATGGGGTGATGGAGACAGGTTCAGCAAGCTGAGTTTTGAAAGTTGAGAGAGTGGATGAAAAGGGAGAAAAGATCAGGACTAGGGTTGTGGCTTAGTAGTAGAGCACTTGCTTGGCATGTGTGTGGCCCTGCATTCAATCCTCAGCACCACATATAAATAAACAGATAAAGTGAAAAATCCATTGGCAACTAAAAAATATTTTTCTTTTTAAAAGGAGAAGGGATTTGTTCAGGGGTATGTAAATGTTTTCAAGTTCAGAATTGAGTGGCCAGTTTGGGTAACTCTTAGAAACCTGGCATGGCTGGAAAAGGGGACCAAGTAGGGGACATTGAAGGGTGTGATGGCCAGAGGTGGAGGGCAGGTGAGAGAGAAGCAGAAGCCTTGTTCACTGAGCTAAGGAATCAGTTCAGGTGAGTGAAAAGAGCCAACAGGAGATTTTATACAGGGGTGCGCTCCAGTCACCCATGGATGCTACTCACTCAAACCGGCAGTGGCTGGCTGAAACATGCATCTTGTGCTCAAACTCCCTGATCTCTCCAAATGCCCCATATTCTTACTCTCCATCTACTCCAGATGAACTGTGTTCCTCCCCCTAGGTAGGATGTGCTGGAGAGGGGTGAGATGGCCTGCCCTGTCATAGCCACTGCCTCATCCTTGCAGTTCTGGACGCTTCTGCTTCTGTGGCCCATTCCACTACTCCTGGGCTCTCTGAGGAATAGTAAGGAATCCAGAGGCTGGCACTGAGAGGATGATTGGGAGAGGAACTAGGACAGGTAGGAGGAAGGTAAAGCAGGGTGTTGCAGGTCAGCATAAAGGCTTGACTGTGTACTCTTCCTAAGATGGAGAGCCGTTGGAGGATGTAAGCTTAGACATGACCATGACCCGACTTGATTGATATTTGAGTAGGATCATGCCAGCAACAGCACCGAGAAAAAAAACAAAAAAACCCCAAACCCAAACTCTACCTGTGTCAGTCTTTTTTCTGCTGCTACAACAGAATATCTGATAGTCAGTAATTGGTGATGAACAGAGTTTTGTTCCACAGTACTGGAGTCTGGGAAAATCCAGGAGTATGGTGCTGGTATCTGGTGAGGGAATGCACGGTATGTCATCCTACTCAAAAGGAAAAATAGGCAAGAAGGGACAAGAGCAAGCAAGCAAGAGAGGTTGAAGCTCGATTTTACAACTCATTCTCTGGTAACTAGCCCAGTCCTTTGATAACGACATTGATCCATTCCTGAGGGCAGAGCCCTTATGACTGAATCACCTCTTACTCTCAACACTGTTGTGTGGGTGATGAAGTTTCCAACACATGGACTTTGGGGGGCACGTTTGAGCCAAGAAAGTGTTAACATGAAAGCAAGAAACTAGTTAGAGGCTGTTGCCTAACCAGATGATAGATGCAACAGCTTAGATGGGGGGTGAAAGCAGAGGAGATGGCTGGATTTGGAGTATATTTAGGAGGTTGGGATAACAGCATTTTCTCTTGCATTGGACACGGAGTGTGAGAAAAGAGAGGAGGCAAAGGTGACTCTCAGGTTCATGGCCTGTGCAAGTGAAATCATAGGGCTGCCATTATTGCAATGGGCAAAATACCCAAGCTTAAACCTTTTAGGTCCTCTGACAAATTTCATATAGGTGTGGTGTGACTAGGAGCCAGCACCTAAGGGATTGTAGGAAACTCTCAGGGAGCAGTGTCATGACCCGATGGCTCCCATTCAGGTTGGGAAAGTTGAAATTTCAATGTAGGGACTATTCATTTTTGGAAAATATGAGTAATTGTTATCACTCCAGTCTCTTTTCCATATCTAGGCATTTCCAGACACCTGTGTGCTGCCTCTGCAGTCCCATTGTATCTTCCAGGAGGTGCTCTCCTCTTTGCCTATTGCTAAGTGACGGGATTTACTGCGGCCTCTTGTGTCAGACCTAAATCAGGCTCTGTGATGCTGACATTTTGCTAAGCAGAAATTCTGGTGCAGGGACTCAGTAATGAATGGGTCTCTCCACCAGCCTGGTGCATTTAATAACTGCTAGGTTATCCCCAAGTGATTTCCATGGGAGTGGACCAAAAATTGCCTATCAGTCCAAATGAAGTATGCCATGATCTCCCTCGCTTTCCAGTTACTTTTTAATTTCCACGCCACCTGCTCCTAGCTCCACCAGGGCAGACTCTGCCAGCGTTATCATTAAGGACTTGGTCTTCCTGCAGTGTGTAACTCATCATGTCAAGGACCTGTCCCTGTTTAGTGCCTAAAAGAAGTGTTTGCCAGTATAGCAGAATCTCTGGCCTGAGAGGCACTCACTGTGCTGTCCCTGTTGTATCCAGATGAGACTTTGGCAAAATGTAGCACACTGTCATTGCCTTGTGTACGTAATGTATTATGCTTGGCATTGGGGTAAATTCTACTCAGGCACAGTACATGGAAGAAATAGAACTGGGCACAAACCCTAGACGTATTACTTATTAAGTTGGTGACTTTAGGTAAGTTTATTAAGTTAATGATGTGCTTCTGAGTTTCCCCAACAGTAAAACAGCAACAATATCTGCCTCCTGGGTTGTTCTCAGGAGGCAGAGGGCATATGAGAAGCATGAAGAATGACTTGCATATGGTGGGCTCATAGGGCACACGAATTTCATCATTTGCAAAATGGGGATATGCTGAACCCACTAGGGGTCAAGTCCTCAGATGCCAGGGCATTTAGGTCTACATCCCTGTTCTGCTTCTTACTAGTGTGACCTTGGGAAAATACTTAATTTCATTTTACTTAGTTCCTCACTTGAAAAACAGATTATAATAACACTGGCCTCTAAAGGTTGCTGCATGGATTAGTGAGCTTGTTCATTCATGGAAAAGAACTTAGAACAGTGAGGGGCACAGAGTAAGTTTTCTGCACTTGTTAGCCATCGTTATTCTCCAAGGGCCATTTTCCATCCCCGAGATGATTAGTTTGCAGTTAGTAAGCTCTTATGTTGACTTTGCAAAGTCAATCAGATGCTTGATTTCATTTGAGTCTCATGATCCTGAAATGTAGGCCAAGAGCTCCCTCTGCCCTTTTTTTTAAAGGGGGGGGGTACTGGGGATTGAACTCAAGGGCACTCGACCACTGAGCCATATCCCCAGCCCTATTTCATATTTTATTTAGAGACAGGGTCTCACTGAGTTGCTTAGCACCTTGCTTTTGCTGAGACTGGCTTTGAACTCGAGATCCTCCTGCCTCAGCCTCCCGAGCTGCTGGGATTACAGGCATGTACTACCATGCCCAGCGCTCACCCTTTCTTTTAACTACTGCATTGTATGAGATACTAAGACATAGACTAAGGAGGTAAATTGCTCAAGATCAAAAACTATGTTAGTGGCAAAGGCCAAGTTAGAACCTATCTCCTCAGCCCCTCTCCCCAGTTCTTCCCACTGCATGATACTGACTTCCATCACCAGCTGGTTGCAGGTTATAGGTCAAGTCCTTGCAGCAGGTGGAGCCTAGTGGCCCATGTAACTCTGAAATCTATGACCAATCCTCAATTGGAATAACAGCGTCACTCCACATTTTTTGAACATCCTCCTTGTCTCAGGTGCTTTACATATAGAGTCTGCTTAAGTAACTCCACATCCTTCCAGATAATTAGGCGCTACCACCCTTATCTTAAAGATGAGGAGGCCAAGGTCTAAGGAGATCTAGTAATTCAACTAAGGTCAATTGGTGATCCTGGGATTTTACCCTAGGTCTGTCGGGGTTAGACCCTGGATTCCAAAGTCCACACTCTTTCCAGAGTGCCACACTTTGTTTCTTAGTGCCCTAGCCCAGTGCTTCAGTGGCCATAGGAGCTTCTCTCACTATGTGTTCTTTTTAGGAAGAGCACTAGACTGAGATAGATCTGGTCCCAGCCCTATCTCATGTTAGCTGCACAGCTTTGGTCATCTACATCACCACTCTGGGTTTGTTCATTTTTAGAGTGAAGATTACGCATGCCACAGCTGATATGTAAGAATCAACGTGCACGACTCTGTGTCCACATCCTCAGGGCTGGCAGGAGAAGACTAAGAATGAAAACTACATACGAAAGACTGGAGACAGAGATGTAATTGACAATGCTGAGCTTCTTTCTTTCTTTTTGAGATATAATTCACATATCACACAATTTTACCTTTTAAAGTGAATAATTTAGTGGTTTTTAGAATATGCATAAGGCTGTGCCATGATCACTGCTATCTAATTTCTGAACATTTCCATTGTCTTTCAAAGGAATCATTAGCAGTGATTCTCTGGCTTTGATAATCACTATGCTACTTTATATCTTTGTGGATTTGTCTATTTTGGACATTTCACCTCTGAACATACCTGCATTATCCCAGGAGCTGGGGGGGACACCGCATATCTAAATCATAACCGTGGGGAGGAATGTATAATTATTGTATTGCATATTCCTATTTACTATTTATTCTTATTATTTCTCCTTTATATCTCCCATGCTAAGAAACCATTTTCAAGAATGTTCATCTTGGAATGGATTAAACACGGGACGGTAGGTCTGTGAGACCCCTGCGGCAGCAGCAGCAGGAGCCGCGGCAGCAGGGGTGGTCCTGCATGCAGGCTCTGCAGAATGACCTTTCACCATGACACTGCGGTCAATGACTGCCACGTAAGTGACGGTCATCCCATAAGATTCTAATGGAGCTGAAAATTCCCATTGCCTGGTGACGTCATGGCAGTGCTCACATCCTACTGCAATGCGTTCCTCCCGTGTCTGCGGTGACATGACCTAGAGTGACACGCAGGGCATAATTCTTGACCATGATAACACCCAGCTGATTCACTGCTTTAGGCATTTACTGTACTAGACTTTTCATTGTGATGTTAGAGTGCATCCCTTCTATTTACGAAAAAGCTTCCTGCAGAGCAGCAGCATGCTGTGCTGTGCAGGAAGCAGTTCCCACGTCTCAAGTGTACCACGTTGCATCATTGCTTCGAGAGCCCAGGTCCAGAGGTTGACCTGCGCCATCTAGTTTGTGTACATACACACCATGGTGTTCATCCAGGGACGAAATTGCCTAATGACAAGTTCTCAGAACATGTCTCTGTCGTTAGGCAATGCCTGGCTATTTCTTTCTACTGTGTGCTCGGCATGGTTCTGAGTGCTTTATAAAGGTTAACACACTTGGCAGCAACCTATGGGCTAGTTCCTATTAAAATCTCCATTATGCAGATGAGGAAACTAAAACACAGAGAGGTAAATAACTCGTCCAAGGTCACAAAGCACAGATGCGCTGGAGGAGAGATCCAAACCTGCAGTTCATGTACAATGATCACTTTTTTTTTAAATTGTGGAGCAAATTTAAAAAATTGTTTTCTGAGGTCAATTTATCCTGGGTTGATAAACTAACTATAAGGTGTTTCATAGTCCCAGGGCCATGACATCACTATATGTTTGAATAACACTATGAATGAAACAAAGAGAAAATTCCCATTTAAGATTCTAAATTCTCTTTTCTCTAAGACTTTCTTGATCCCAACATTCTCTTATTGCTCATTTATACTGTGTATATTCAATCCAACAAGACTTTCTGTGCCAGACATAGTAACAGGCTCTGGGGTGCAGAGATAATTAAGCTAAAGTTCTTTCTCCCACTTTCAGTGGTTTGGATTGGTGCTTTTGTTTCTTCCCTGACCTTCTCTACCCCCTTTTCTGGGTGAATTAAACTGTAAATAAAGTTTAAATTTTACGGTGAACATTTACAAACTCCTTCTAACTTTTATATAATGAACTTTCTCCTCATCTCTCTTGGAGGAGGGAGCATGTGCAAGATGGTTTTGTTTCAGTGTCTTGGCATTTCCTGTTGCTTCTGCTGAAATGTTTTCTAATCTCACCCACTCCTCTCAAAATTTGGCATGTGGGCCTCTGCAGGAATTCCCCTTCCTGAGTGTGGTCTTCCCTGACCCCATCTGATAGTCAAACTTTCCCCTACTCCTTTCCCTGCCACACTGTATCTCTTTATCTTATTTAGTTTATATTTGTAGCAGACATCACTTACATAATACTTGTTTAATGATCTATGCCTGTCTCTTGCATTAGAATATCAGCTCCATTAGTTTTATTTATAGCTCTAGTGCCTAGAACAACTTGGTACATAGTAGATGTTCAATAAACTTCCTTTGAATGGAAGGCAAAAACTGAACAACTGAGCATGTGTGGCTCCATTCTTATCCTCTGGCACACTTTCTTTTCCAGAACATCCTGTTCTCAGGACACATACTCTTGCTTCTACACATACAGGTAGCTATTATTTATCTCCATCCTGCCAAGGTCACTCACCAGGAAGCAAATAGTCATCTACTGGGGTCTCAGATTAAATGTGAACTCCTTAAAGGTGCTTTCCCTGGCTACATTATCCATTGTAGCTCACCTTTACCAAAGCCATTCTCTTTCTCAGCATCCTTTTGGTTTCTTCTTTACTATATTTACTATACTATATTTACTATATTTATATATTTACTATATTATACTATACTATACTTACTATATTTCTTCTTTACTATAGTTACTCATTTATTTATTTCTCACTGTAACTGCTGCTAATGTTGCAGAACTATTTTGTGCCAAGATCTGTGCCAGGCCCTTGGAGATACACTGTGGCACTCAAATAGCCTTCACTCTAGTTGGTGGGGCTGAGAAAGCGAGATGGAGGGACATTGTTGCAGCAGAATTCTAAAATGCGGAACATCAAGCAGAGGATATTTGTTGTCATTGTTCATACCAGCTAAGCCAGATTTCACTGACATCCAAAAGAAGGTGTAAGCCATGGCTCTGCCAAGGAATCACTATGTTTCCTTGTCTCTGGTATAAAGATGACAATAACACCTATCAAATTGGAGTAAGGATGAAATAAAACTATATTTGGAGCATCACTATAAAGTGGTATGACTGTGTAAGGTATGTGTCAACTTACAAAGCTTGGTTTTGAAAACAAAAATGCTTATTTCCAACTGAAGATCATTTGATCCACTCCCTTCCTGTTATTGGTGCTGACAGCTAAGTACTCATTTGTAGTAGGTTTTATGGGTGCAGGCCAGGTTGGTGAAGAAGGCACAGTGGTGCAAACCTTCTTTTCCTTCCCACCAAGAATATACTTTTGTCCTGTAGTTCATTCACTCTGACATTTTGGACTTAGATGTATCCCTTGGTAGATCCAGATGTTTCAAACTGGGCAGAGCCAACAGAACAATAAATCCGAGATCAGCTATGATGCATGCTACCCTGCAGAGCACATGGCTGGGCACACAGGTGACAGAATCAGGCACTTATCTAACCTTGATGCAAGAAGGATAGTTGAGGAGGTCGGGTTGCGTTGTTAGGCAATTCAGTATCTCAACAGTCTCACTACTGAGAGCTCTAGTCAGATAGGAATCAAGTTTTCATTTCAGTTTGATAAATATTGAGTGCTTAGTCTATGCCAGGCCTTCTTCTAGGAGCTAGGATACAATGAAGAAAAGGGACAAAAATTCTTGTCTTTGTGGAGCATATATTCTAGTAGAGGAAGACAGGCAATAAATATAACCCATGAGGTAGGTAAATAGAGCAGTCAGAGAAAGTGAGGTCAGAGCAGAGTGGAAGGAGAGAGACATACCAACCCTGGAGGTGTCTGCATGACGGGCATCCCAGGCCAGGGGAAGGAGAGTGTCTTGCAGCGTTGGGGGCGATGGGGGTGGGCAGGGGGACTGGAGGAGCAATGGGAGGTGAGGACAGGGAGGATTAAAATAGGCACCAAAATTTGCAGCATCTTTTGGGTAATCCTGACCCTGGGACCTTTGCTTATGTATAAAATGGGGAACCATTGGAGGGTTTTTCTTTTTTTTTTTTTTTGGTTGTAGATGGACACAATCCCTTTATTTTATTTACTTATTTATATGTGGTGCTGAGGTTCGAACCCAGTGCCTCGCACATGCTAAGCAAGTGCTCTGCCACTGAGCCACAACCCCAGCCCCACTGGAGGGTTTTGATCAGAAGAATCACATGACAAGTTTAAAAGGACCATGACTAGATGCTAGAATGAGGCTGGATTATGGGGGAGGGGCACGCATAGAAAGAAAGACCCATTGATTCTGATGCGCTGGGCTGAACCTGGAATGGTGGCTGGTGAGAAGCACCGAGTTCTAAACATGTTTGGAATGGCCACAGGATACTTTCAGAGTTATTATTGCTTAATTAAAACACAGTAACCTACTTCAGAATATTGTCTCTTTTTATGATTTTTTAATGTCTCAGTAGACTACCTCTGACCCTTAAGGACAATCTTGCTACATAGGAAACAGCAGCCCCTTATCAGCCTTGAGAGGTTCAGTGGGTCTCCCAGGGACACACAGTGTAGTAATTGGCTGAGCTGGGACAAGTCGGCACCTAACCCCCAAATCCCTTTTTTAGTCTTTTGCTCTTTCCTACTAGTTGCCTTTGGATCTGAGCTCTTATTTAGCTCCTACCCTCTGTTTTCTAAGCTCTGCTGGACCATCACCAACTTTAATGGCTTCACTCAAAAATGCCAAACCTCAAAATGCCACCGTTCAACAAAGACAATCGGCGACTGGACAGGAGACTTTCTGGCCCCAGTCCTGGAGCCCCCTCCTCAGCCTCCCCTCCTCCTCCACGGTCTCCCCTCCCTCTCCCCCCACCCCCCAGCTCACCCCTCCCTCTGACACTAGGAGTCTGGACTGAATTCAATTATTCCTCGAACTCTCATTACCATCTGACCAAGATTTATGAGTTGATAATTGTCTGAAAGTAAGACCACAAAGTATCATTTGTGTTGGGGGCTGACCTTCCCCGTGACCTTTAGGATTAAAGGCAAAATGAAAAGTGTGATTTCTGCAGAGCCAAACAGTAACGTGATCCATCGGGGCTAATAATCCAAAGCCTCGGATTTCCCTGGTCGAGGACATATTAAAGCTGGGCACAAAGGGGGACAACTAATCCTACAGGTTCATTTCACAAATTAAGTTTTTTTTTAAAGCGTCACCACCTCCCTCTCTGGCCTTTGGGTGCATTCTGAGTGACGTTTTCCAAACAGGATGATGACAACAGCTCACACCTCTGGGGCCTTTATTGGATTATTTTTACAGGCCATTTAAAAACACTTTTTTTGAAAGTCCTAATTGAAAACAGACCTGGCCCCTCTTCTGGGTTAGCGACCAGGGCATCACTGGGGGTGGGAAAATGAATTCATGGAAACTTTCCCAGGTCAGCGGTGGTACTGGCTCACTCACTTCCCTGCAGCACCGTGCACCCGGTAATGGCTCTTCCTCTCGTGAACCAGCTACCCAGAGACAAACTGCCAAGAAAACACTACCTGGGACTCAACATCAAGCTTCCAGCCAGCTTGGAACATTGGTGAGGCATTTGTGGATCCCTGTGGGGAATATATAATATTGTGTCACTCTGAGTTAGGAGGTCACTTCCTAAGGGAAGAGGGGCAGTGAATCATAACATGAGAAGGGCTAGCAAACAAGAAACAACATGCAGCCTTCTCTCAGCTCAGGCAGCCGTGGTTTTCAGTTCAGCACCTGTTTATTGAATCAGGCACTGTACTAGGCCCTCTGCAAAAAAAAAAAAAAAAAAAAAGTGTGAGAACTTCCAGTAGCTCACAGGCTAGGATATCCCCTTCTCAGGCACACAAAGACTCAGGGTAGGTTGGGCTGTAGTGGGTGAGTCTGAGTCTGAGGGGGAGCCGGTTTTCTATCCCTGGCCTTGGAGCAAGGAGAATCAAGCGATTGTGTTTGGAGACCAGAGATTTAGGAAGCAAGGATGGTTATTAGTACCAAGTCCAAGGGGTGGGATATAAGAAAAGGGGAATAAAAACTGGAATTCCCTACTGTCAAGGACTAAGTTTGTATTTTTCACCAATGTATTCCTAGTGTATCTAATTAACCAAAAGTTTAGATCAACCACGACTTAACTATCCTCTCCTCTGGGCCCAGGGAATGCCTACTGATATCTTTGAATGTAGAGATTATTTTGTACCAACTATTTGAACCCTATCTGGAAAACCTGGATCTATTCCACTTTGAAGTGTCTCTTCATGTATTGTTTGCCTTCTTTCTGCAATTTTAAACCAGCCCAACGCATGCGGGCACCTGTATTGCGTAGCAGATCCAGCTGTGGGTTCCTCTGAAGCCAGGCTGCCTGTTGCAGCTGTAACCTGAAGCTGTCAGTAGTGAGGTAAAGCATGTGCTGTCATTTGGGTCTTATATGTTGCCCGGTGATCCCTGTGAAAGTTTTGGTCCCCAGTGTGGCACTATTGGGAGGTGGTGGAATCTTCAAGAGAAGGCCCCTTGAAGAGGGTGGTGGGATCCTGGGCCTCTGCTCTCTCATTTTGCTTCCTGGCTATGAGTTTTGTTCTGCTGTCTGCTCCCGCCACTCTGTACTACCTTGCCATAGGCCCAAAGCTATGAGGCCAACCAATCATGGACTGAAAACTCCAAAACTATGAGCTAAAATAAACCTTTTCTATTATAAGTTGATTATGTCAGGTATTTTGTTACAGTGATAGAAAAGTAGCTAACACAGCATGCAAAACCATAGGTGGTCTAGATTAAATGCTCAATAAACCTGGGCAGTTTTCTTAATTATTCACTAATCAATACACATGAGCAGTGCAGCTCTCACAGATGTATGCAGCACAATCCAAATCTAAAACCCTCCTTACTTTCCTGACCTACACTCACTTTGACCAAGACCTTGACCAAGCTCAATTCCGCTCTGTATTATCTTTGTGGGGTCTACCTCTGCCTCTTGGTCTAGTGTTAGTTTATCTCCTATGTGCTTGGCTTTCAGCTCCCTGTAAATATTGGTTTGGCTGGCTCTGCTAACTCTTACCACTCCAGATGGCTTCAAGAAAGCTCTCAGCTCACATCTGGCCTCTCCAATCCCAAAGTCCCCACTCCAATGCTGGTGCACTGGTCATCCCCCTGTCCAAGGGGGGCCCACCTCACAGTGTTCTGGAGTGACTTGCAACTGCCATGAGAGTCTACTGTTAAAAGTTGCAGGAAATTTGTGAGCTGGTCTTTAAAAATGAATTGCAACAATTTGCAATGAAACAAAATGTATTTAAAACAAATTTAATAAAGTTCAAAACTCATTGCTTCCAAGTTATTTTGTGATATTTGATCATGATCTCTACTCTTGAGGGTGTCACCTCTACTGTAATTATGGTTAGAAATACAATATAATGGTGTGCTAAGGGGCAGCACTTTCTAACTCTTTTCTGTGACATCAATTTGGCAGCTTGAGATTGTCCAAGCAAGAACATTTACATTACAGAACTTGGTAAGAGCAACAAATTTGGGCACCCTGTCCCCTAGAGAGTTGGTTGCTAAACACTGACCAGCACACCACCAGGGTCAGCTCTCCTCCCAGTGTGGCATATTGAGGCTGCTCAGATTTCTGACACCCACACAATTTTTTCAGTGAAGTGAGTTTCCCAGGACCCTTGGTGATTTGTCTTCTACAATAAGACATCATGCTGAGCAATCAGTAATAACTGTTTTTTTTTTTTTCCAAATGGAGTAGACGTGTGCACACTCCTGGTGCATGTGGCAGTGCTGTGGATAGAATGAAGGCTCACATTTTGAAGTGGTAGGAGGGAGAAGGTGAGTGGTAAGGGAGTGGCTGTTTAAACATATCTGTTTCTTTCCTTTTTCTTCTTGTTTTTGTACTGCGGATTGAACCCAGGGGGGCTTTATTACTGAGCCACACCACCAACACTTTTTATCTTATTTTTAAATTTTGAGACAGTGTGTTGCTACGTTTCTTAGTTCCTTGCTAAATTGCTGAGGCTTGTCTTGAACGTGTGATCCTCTTGCCTCAGCCTCCAGAGTTGCTGGGATTACAGGTGGGTGCCATAATGTCCAGTTTAAACATTTCTTAAAGGATGCTAAACAGGTCTCTAATAGTGACTTGGTGATCAGATTATCGGTATGAATATTGGTATTCAAGGCTTTTCCCTCCCTGCACTGGATTGTCTAAATGGTGAATATCAACTCTGTGTAACTGGGAATTGTTGGGGAGCCTAAGAAATAATAAATAGCCCTGGGCCTTGTACATTCATAAATTTCATATAATGATAACTAGTTAACACTTTCCAAAGGGTTGGAGGAAACAGTCAGTATGACCCCTCACATTTAAAACTCAGCTTCACACATTTTATAATTAAACTGCCTTCCAAGTGACTTATAACATGGGAATTTTCTTTTTTCCTAATAGTCTGCCTTGGCACCTTTTAGGACTTGGCTGTTAACCTGGGTGCCTGCCTTTTGGGAATAATCTTGAGTTCTGGAGAAGAAAAAGTCATTGCTGTGCTTTATGCAAAAGCACAATTTAAAACAGGAGACCAGGGCTACCTCCCTCCCCAGTGGCTGAGTAATTGCTAGGTACATCTCTGTCAGGAATGTCACAGGCTAAGGTTCTTGATTCTGTGCACATCATAAAACCACCAGAAACAAAGTTACTCTTCCTTTGGAAAGTTGCTTTCTAACATGGAGTTTGGGACAACTGGGATTCATAGGGCCATCGATCTGAATTTATTTTAAAAATAGCCTCAAGCAGGCTGGTGGCTTTATTTCTAAAACAATCATTTAAGTCGTGTCGCTACAGATTGTGGACACATGTCCTGTGTCTGTGCATTTCCATACAAAGTGAGAACCAGGCATTAAAATACTTTAATGAATATTAAGGCATATTTATTGTTCTTTTACTCAAAATAATACTAATGCTGGCAAACATTTCTTAAGAGAATGGCTATAAGCCAGGCATACTCTAAGAAATTTATAGGTATGATATAATTTAGTCCTTTATAAGCTGGGTGTTATTGTTATGAATCTAGTTTTTGCCAGGGAGGAAATTTGAGTCTTAGAGAGGGTAAGTAACTCACTCAAGTCACACAGCTACTAAGGTAGCCAAAGCATACTTTGAATACAGAGTAGGGCAGGGTAGGCAGGGGGACCAGTGAATCTGGAAGGTCAAAAAGAAGATATTTAGCACAGGGTCTTTTTCTATTAGGTGGGACAGCACTGTTTCTGGAAATGTTTGTTTTAGTTCTATGGATATACATGGAGGAGTTCTGGGTTTCCATGTCAAATATTTCTCTTTTTTTTGGGGGGGGATAGGAATAGAACCCCAGGGGTGCTTTATCATGGAGCTACAGCCCTATCCTATTTTGAATTTTTTATTTTGAGACAGAGTCTTGCTAATTTGCCCAGGCTGGCTTTGAACTTGTGATCCTCCTGTCCTAGCCTCTCAAGCCACTGGAATTACAGGTGTTCACCACTGTGCCTGAATGTAAAATGAATTTCCTGATGTGTGCAGCAGAGAAAAAAATTGAAGAATGTTTTAAAGCCAAAAGGGCCTCAAAGGGGTTGGGGTGAGTAGGGGTTAAATAAGGAAGTGACCAGGTGACTAGATCAAACCTGCTGCTTAGGGTGGTCACCTTGCTGCTTTGAATAAATGGGTGAAGAGGGTGATGGGGTGCCAGGCAGGTCTGTGAGGAGTGGCTGCAATTGTCTGAGTGGTGACTGATTCCCTCCTCCTCCTGGAACTATTGTCCATGGTGAGGCAGGGGGGATAGCGTGCATGAACATAAACTCTGGACAGGTGTCCTGAGCAAGGGCTCTAACTTCTGTCGGCCTCACGTTCCTCATCTGTTGTCTGGGACCCTAATACCTGCCGGTGGGTTTGATATGAGGATTAACTGAATCTGAACACATCAACCCCTATGCCAGGGCTGTGTACATGTTGCCTATAATTTTGACATTGACAGGAATATGGCCATGTTACAATTACGGATTCATCTGTTCATTGACAATTCAAAAGCTGTTTACTGAATGCCCATGATGTGCCTGGAACTTTGCCAGTCTTGGAGATATGGCCCATAGGGGAGACAAAGTGTGATACTACAGAAATAATAAAAACCAGAGGACACCACTATATATGTAGGATGATACCCCACCTGACAGTTAGCTCCATGAGGACAGGGATTTGTTTTTGATTGCTGTTTTTGTTCACTGCTGTATTTTTAGCAATTAGAATAGTGCTTAGCACATAATGCATATTTATTGTTAGAAAAATACTGGCCACTATTTCTAAACATATGTATATGCAACAAATCACCTAATTTTACAACTACCGTATGAAGTATAGATGATATGCCTATATTAGAAATGATATAGGTGAGCCCTAAAGTGACTCACGAGTAGAGATGATTGGCAACAACTCAAGCCTATTCTTCCTGCTCTTACCCACTTTGCTATGTAAAAGAAACAGCATATTAGGATGAGCCCAGGAATGTCTCTTAGGGCATGGCCCTGACCCACAGGAAAGGTCTTTGCATCATTGGGGTTTCAGCTACAGTGATAAAGGAGGATTTTGACCTGATTCTATTCTGGGTTGTCTGACTTTTAGACACCTGGCTTTGTAGGACCATCTTTTTAAACACATTCTTCCTTTCCAAAGTCCTCCAATCCACCAAAATAATTTATTTGGCATTTACCATGTGCCGAGCACTGTGCTAGAAACTTTGGGGAAGATGGAAAAATGACATTTTTTGAGTTTGCACTTTCAAAGTTCATACACTGTATTTGAGGAGAAAGGATCTATACAAAGACAGTGGGGGTGTGACATGAGCTGAAGGAGGTCTGAAGTGAGATGCTATTGGCATCTGGGTAGCAGGCAAGGACCAGGCAAGTCCAGGCGTGGGACTTGGAAATCTCCTAGAGGGCCAGGAGACATATGAAACCCCTCTGTGCATGACCCAGGGAGTGGGCAACCACTCTTCTGGCCACTGGTACCTACTGCTCAAAGACAGCTTTGCCTTCTGGAAAGTTCTTTCTAACCAGCTGACATCTGCCTCTGTTTGGTAGGTCTTGGCTAACAGGGAGACTAAGAATTGGAGGAGTGCATGGGAGGCCTCCAGGAGGGGAAACTTGAAGAGGGAGAGAGCATGTGGTACCTGGCAGTGAGCACTCGTTGACTGAGGAGTGGATTTCCCGGATAGTAGTAAATGTGAGCTAATGTCTGTGCTAAGCCATGTGCCTTTGAAAAAAGAACAATTACGGATGTTTTCCCTCCTTATTACATGCACTAATTTCCCCACCAAAATAACAAGGCTGGCATCTGCTGAGAAACTGTATCCTCTGGGCCCATTTTCTGCACATAAGTTCATTTGGAGTTTGCCCTGTGCTGGGGAGTGCTGCCTCTCCTGGACTCCTTATTTTCCTGAACAAAGAGGTGAGCTCTGCCTGCCCCTTTGTAAGTCTGGAAGCCCCCTGTGACTCTGGGCCCAGCTCCATACTAGTTGTGTGGGGACACACCGGGGGTGTCTTCTTGCCTCGTGAACCCTGGGAAGCCCCAACTGTGCAGACAACGAGCTGCTGAGCGGCTTGTTTTGGTTCTCGAGCTGACCCACCAGTCATCAGGCCCTGTGATTGATGTGGGGCCGGTGCTCTGGGTTATGTGAACTCAGGGTGTTTTCAAGGGAAAAATTTGGTCATGAGGCAGAGGCTCGCCAGGTTTGAGATAAGTGTGAAAAACACATTACAAAAGGAAACAGACCCGAAGTTTCCTGACAAGGGAAACAGTTAACCCTGTGTTTGAGAGTGAGAAGCACATGCAGAAACAGTGTGTCTCTCTGTGTGCACGTGTCCCTGCTGGAGAGGATGGTGGAGTGTGCGTGACCGACTGTGAGAGTGAGTGTGTGGCGTGGGTATGCATGTGCGTTGGGGGGTGGGGGAGAAAAAGAGAGAGAGAGAGGGAGAGAGAGAAGCACAAATGTGCCTGGGGAAGGCAGGGATATTAATCATGCTAAAAGCAATCTGGCCTCATGGGAATTTATAAGGATCCAACTAAAATCAATGGGAAGTTTTATGAGACAATTTTCTTCTTGCTGGCTCTGGGGATTGTTTGAACTCATAGAGCTGAGGGCGGTGCTGGCTCAGAGATTCTCCAATTCTCACACCTGTGTGTGTGAGACAATGTGCATTTTCCATGTTAGCAACTCAGATCTGACTCATCTCAGAGGGCTGCCATGGAGGGGGCCTTGACCTCTTGGCTGCTTGGCTCTTCAGCTTGGAGCTGCAGCTTCCCGTCAGAGGTCAGGGGTCTTGTGAGGAGGAGGAAGGGATAGGAGGGCAGGCGGTCAGTGTGCTTTGTCTACGGCATCCAGATAGATGGGAGAGGCCAGCGAGATGCACAGAGGCCTGCAGGCCTCCAATAGCTTCAGAAATCCCCCATGAGTTTCAGAATCCAGTCCAGATACCTCCATGTGGCTGGCTTCCATTTGCCTCTCCCATTCTTTCCCCACCCAGGAATTCTTTGCTGCAGTCCAAGCCACGCTACATGCTGCTCCTGAGCAGGCTGTACTTTCATGTTTCTGTTTCTGCTGATGTTCCCTCAGCCTGCTGGACTTAATCCTCCCCACTACTCAGTCTGTGACAGGGCTTCTAATTCAAACAGGATCAATTATGAAATATTCCAAACTTCCGTCCATAAAAGTACAGAAAACATGGTCCAGAAATTCCTATAACCATCATTTGGCTTTGAGAGATATTGGTATTTGCTAAGGCCCTTTCCCTCCCCCTCCTCAGAAGTCAGCTCCAGGTGAAGGCAGTATGTAACCACTTCTAGTGCACTTTTATTATACTTAAATATATCTACAAATAACACATAACCTCATGTGCTTCTATAGCTTGCATAATGGTATTACTCTGGAGTTATTTGGCAATGCATGGTAAGGAGTGTGCACCAGTGTTCCCGCTTGCGATTGTGAATGCTAGAGAAAGGTCTTGCATGTTCAGAGCATGTACAGGGACATGCAGGCTAACAGTGCACAAATGGTAGCAATGCAATGGTTGCTTAGTGGGGAGATAAAAATAGGCATGGTTTAATAAAATGAAATATTGTATAATAGCTAAAATAAATAAGATCTATAGACATTGTAGACATAATGTTATATAAAAAGGAAGTAAGCTGCAAAATTTTCTGCTCATTTTTCATGGCCAAGTTAATGTAATCCTTCTCTTTAATGAAGCATTCTGTGAAAAATCCCATCCAAATGAAATTAATTGCTTTTTCTCTCCCAAAGAACTTTATAACTTTATTTGCTTAAGGATTACTTCTTACTCTTCACTCTCCACCACACACAATTATGAGCTTCTTAAATGCAGGAACTGGGTCTTAGTCATCTTTGTATCCGAAAGTTGGATTACAGTTGATACTCAATAAGTGGTTGTGCAAAGACAAAAATACACATGTGTGTGTTTCTAAATATTTCCAAATATGTCATGTTATGAGATGTTTATTCTCTTCATTTCCAGTGAGGAAATGGACTGCAGTGCTTCCTGTCAATGACTTTCCCTCCACCACAGAGTGCAATAGGGGCCAGAATACACGTGTGCTGTCTCTTGGTCACCAGAGGCAGTGGGAGGTGAGAATCCAGGTGATTTGTTTTTGCACCATCTCTCTTGCACTTAACTGCCTTGCACTAGGGGTCAAGAAAGTGGAATGATATAAATTTTATGTCACTGACTCAATTTCTTTGAGATAGTAGAAGTCTTTCTGGGATTCAGGAGGAAAAATAGATGAAGAATCTTAGAGATCAAGTGAGATCATTGAAGTCCAGAAAGGAAGAGTGATTTCATTTTCATCAGCTTAATTGAATAAATATATCTGAATATGTGTTAGGTACCTGTCTACTGCTCAAATTCATCTAGGTAGAGAAAATGGGGAAAATACTAGAAAAGTGTCTAGGAAAGCACTGGAACAGAGGGGGTTTCATTCGGCATCAATTATTTTCCTTCTTTAAGGACAGAGCCAGGACTATAACACAGATCTCCAGATTCAAAGTCCAGTCTCCTTTCAACCCTGTCACGGTCATCCAACGGTGAACCAGGAAAATGAATCTATAAGGAGGTTGTGCCTGCAGTACTCTTGATGGTTAAAAAGAATACCATGGGTTTTCTGATAGCTCTTCTGTTGTGTCACATCAGCCCCCCATCTGATTTTATGCCCACATGGCCATTACCATGTATTAGCATACTAATAAATGTTTATGAGATTATGCTGTATAAATGATAAACTTTTACATATTATTAATTAACCTCATATATTGAATTGGGAGCTCCTGAACATTTACTGACTTGTAAAACAGAATAGAGGTGCACAGGGAGACTTGTCTGCACAAATGCTCTTATCTGCTCTTCCTGGGAGAAGGAAGGCATTTTAAATCATTTGTGTGATCCTTACCCCAAGCTACAGATGGCATTGTATTTGAAAGTAGAAGACCTGGTCCTGCCTCTTCCCACCTGTGACCTTGGGTAAGTTTTGTTACTTCTTAAAGGCCTAGCTCTTTGTTTGCAAAATGGGCATAATGATGGCACATATTTATGGGTTCCTTGGCACATGGCAGGTGCTCAGTGAACATAAACTAAATGAAATTGAACCAATGCAGACTGATGAGTGGAAATGACAGGGAGCCCATTTGTTAGTGATGAAAAGACTGATGGCAGGAGTTTCCAAGAGTGGGTGGCTGGTGTTCCACATGGCAAGTAGTGTGTTCTCACTGGAGGTGAGAAGTTAGACAAACAGTTGTTGGTATGCAATGGGAGGGTTTCTTCCATTCCATTACCCAAGGATTCTACGACAAGACAGAACTCAGCAGTCTTAGATTCTAATTCTAAGCCAGTCACTGGCTAGTTTTGCAACTTAGTCTTGGTTGACATGTTCAAATATTCTTTCATCTATAAAATAGCCATACATCCCCATTATGAATCAGCATCCTTATATCAGAGAAAACATTCAGCATTTGTTTTTTTGGGTTTGGCTAACTTCCCTTAGCATTATATTCTCTAACTCCATCCATTTACCTGCAAATGCCATGATATATATATATATATATATATATATATATATATATATATATATATACACACACACACACACACACATACATACATACATACATACATACACATATACATACACACACACCTCACATTTTCTTTATTCATTCATCTGCTGAAGGGCATCTAGGGAATAGACGAACTCTTGATAGGGCAAAGGGGAGGGAGGGGAAGGGAGGGGGAATGGGGGTAGGAAAGGCAGTGGAAGGAGATGGATATCATTAATCTAAGTACATATATGAAGACATGAATGGTGTGACTCTATTTTGTGTTCAACCAAAGATATGAAAAATTGTGCTATATATGTGTAATATGAATTGAAAAAAATAAAGGTAATGTGTCCATCTAAAACTAAAAATTATAATAATAATAAAATAGCCATACAAATTGGGCATGGTCATTAGGAGAGAGAATGAATGACTAAGAAAGCACTTTCAATAATACAAGATTGATCTTTTGAAGAAGATTAGCAGTGAGGTCTATCTCACCATCGTTGGTGTCTGTAGGTGAACATCCTTGCATTCAATCCTCTGCAGTGCTGCCGAGGTGTCTTGGGAAGAACCCAGCCCCAGGAGTTAAAGGATATGGCCCAGTCTCTGTTACTCATAAGTTATGTAACTTTGGTTGTGTGTTTCTGTCCTTTGCATCCCAAGTAACTTAATCACATGAATATAAAACGAAAGCTAATAAATAGGCTATGCAAAAATAACAGGGTGTTCTGAGAATCACATAAAGATAACAGATGTGAAAACAGATTGAAAGCTTTGGGAACAGAAAAGGGTCATGCATCTATAAGGTATAAGCGGAGCACCTTGTTTTACTCCTCATCAGCCATGCTTTTATTTTCTGCACTGCAAGGCTGTGTAGATCTGTAGGTGCAAACCTGTCTTTAGCTGTTTGTGTTTGCCAGTGCCCGGCAAAGGGAATTCATTGATTCATCACCTGTTTCTGAAAGGCCCATTATGGGTCCAGGAGTAGTAGTAAGTGTTAGGATGAGGGATAAAAAAGATGGGCCTCTACCTTCATGGAGCTTGCTTCTAATGGAAGAGTGAGTTCTAGACATGTCCAGGAGTAAATTAAGGGAACTGAGACTGAGGCAGTTTTCAGGGGGCATCCTGTTTGGGAATGTTGCCCTACTGGGGCAGGATACATTTCATCCCTGCTCTTACAATCTGTTTTGTTTAGTTTTCATGTCACTGTGACCAAAATACCCAACAAGAACCACTTGGAGAAGAACAAATCTATTTTGGGCTCATGGTTTCAAAGGTCTCACTCTATGGTTGGCCAACTCCATTGTCGTGGGCCCAAAGTGAGGCAGCACATCATGGGGGAAGAGCTCAGCAGAGGAAAGCTGCTCAATTCACAGCAGGGTCAGGAAGGAGAGAGAGAGGGGGCCTGGAGTGCAGAAAGGGACACCAAAGAACAATCCTTCCTGGGCATGATCCCAGTCAGTGACCCACCTCCTTCAGCCATGCCTCATCTGCCCAGTTACCACCTAGTCAGTCCAGTCAAACTAGGGATGGACCGATTGATTAGGTTACAGCTCTCACAATCCAGTTCCTTTACCTCTGAACATCCCTGCATTAACACAGGAGCTTTTGAGGGACACCTCACAGTCAAACCATGACACAGTCAGATAGGAGCCAACTTCTAGGTTGCCGATGCTTGCCTTTTATGATGACCACACAGTTGCTGGTTTTGTGTGTTTCCCTGCCTGTGGACACATGTGATGAAATACATGTTGCTAATTGACTCTTAGGATCTGCCCACAAGGCGGTGGCTTGTACAAGATTGGTGAAATGATTTAAATCTTATAGAGATGGGGGAAGTCCCCCTCGGGATCAGAAGGTACTTTCCAAGGAGGAAGAGGACGCTGCTTATAAATACATCACTATTGTACTGTCAGAATCTTTTACCTGAGCCTGTGCATTAGGCCCTCTCTTTATTGCTAGGAGCTATCTCCCTTGCCTTTTGCCTCATATTGCCTCTGGAAGTGCTTCTTCAATGAATACTGTGGAATCCTGGTGATCCCTGAAGAGGGTGTAGATGTTATAAGAGTATTTTGGAGGAATAAGTCAAACCGTGACAATAAGTAACCATTATATGACTATGGCATAAGTGGAAAGAAGGGCCACATTTCATTAGTGTTCATCCCTTTTTCTAGTTTGAGCCAGTTTAGGTTGGTTTTCTGTCTTTGCAGCCAAAATTTTACTAATATGATACATTATGTCACAACTTACTTCATTTTTGAAACTTATTTGGCTAAACAATACTATATTACATTACTTTATTTAATCATTATGTAAAGTTAGGAAGTAAACTTTATGATCTAATTTATAAATAAGGACACTGAGACTTTGAAAAGACAACTCACCTGAAGGAACACGCCTAGTAAATAATTGGGATAGGAGAAGAGCCTTGGTCCTCTGACCACAGTGATTGTTAAAGACACATTTTCCCCAAACCAAATACTTAAGGAAAGCCAATATACAAGAAATGCAAAGGAAAACACAGGTAATGCTGATTGCTCTAGTTTGTTCTTTGTGGGGATGTTTCATTCACAAGTACATGGTTCCATCCAAAGTTAAGAGACCCTCTGTGAGTGGGCTTGGTCTTATTGCCTTGATCCAGTAGATCTTTGCCATTTCGCATCAAGTTCACTGGAATATTTTTCTAGGTCATCTTTCTGCCTCCCTTCTCATTCTCCAACTATCTGTCCTCTGCACTACGACAGTGCCACTTTTCTAAATGCAAACTGGGGAATGGCATTGCTTGCTTCCAACCCTTCAATAAATAAGCTTTTAAGGTAAAGTTCAAATTCAGCTTTGCATTCAGATAGTTCATGACCTGACTCCTGGGTATCTCTTTAGCTTCATTTCCCTCATTCCTGAGTGAGTGACCTCTGGCCTCTGGTTCTGCAAATGCAGACTCATTGCTTTCCTTTGTGGTTGCCATTCTAGCTGTGAGGAACCTGCAGCCCCGCCCCCCCCCAACCCCTGCCCTTTGTTTTGGAAAATTCCCTTTTATCCTTAAAGTCACCTCCATCCTTCAGATGTTGTTTCCTGTGGGAGGATTTCTGTGATCCATCAGGTTGATCTGGATGTGATGATTCTTCTGTGTCCCTGCCGCACTCTGGACATATCTCTTAAGGCATTTCTCACATGGTGTAGTAACTATTACATGCTACTGTTTCCTGGATCATGAGAAACAATTGTGCCTTATTCAGTTTCATATCAAGGGCACAGCTGACTTCTCAGCATATAACAGTCAGCAAATGAATGAAGGAAAGAACAATGGGAGGAAATATGGAAGAAAAAATCAGTACTTTCTCTTTTGTCTGACACTTTGAAATACTATACACTAATCATAAGCATTTTCTTTAACTAAATTCAGATACTATGTTCTTCTTGACTTTCATATTTGAAACAAGTACTTTGTTTTGTTTTATAAGTTTTTTAAAAGAAAAATTTCATGGTGTTCCAAATTAAATAAATAGTGTTTGTTTTCCTGTGATTTCAACATGCTTGGTAAACGTGGATGATGAGGTGGGAGGAGAGGGTGGTGAAAGTTTTGTGGATAATGATAGAGAAAGTGGACATTTGGAAGCTGAGAGGTGGGGTTCCCTGGTCCCCTTGGTAGCTGGAGCCTTGGATAGGATGAAAATGATTTATGTTTAGGGATCTAATAGCAACTAACTTTAGTCTCCATGGACAGAAATATTGCCCTCTGAAACATTTCAGGTCTGGAGTCTCATGATTGCTGAATCTGACAGTTGGTAAGGAATCTTGTCTCCCAAGGACCTAGTCTCAAATTTGCCTTCAGAACTTGGGAGGAATGCTTTTTTCCCCCCTTGGTTTTATGCGTTTCCTTTTAATTATGTTATCTACCTGCAGGTTGTGGTGAGTGACAATGTGTGTAAGTGTGCTGAGCAGAAACTTTCTACATGTGTCTATCTATTAAGTTATGAGATTGAGCCTTAATCACCAGCCCTTGCATCTTCATAGAGTTTAGTTTCCATCTCTGATTTGAAAATGCATGCCTCATGTTTACTTGCCCAAACATGTGAAATATGTTTTTGACAAACTGACTTCTTGATTGGGATCCCTGGGTCATCCAGCTATCCAACCATCCCATCATTTATTCCATAAATATTTTCTGAAGTCCTGTGAGACTGTGCTGTTCCATGTACTCTTTAAGTAATGAGGAGGGATGCCTAAACCTGGGAAGCAAAATGGGGCAGGAAAATCTTCTTGAAGGAGTAGCTGCCCGAGGTGAATAGTGAGAAGGAAATGGGAATTAGCTGGGCTGGTGGATTGGATGAGGGCATGGTGGTGGTGGTGGGGAGGTGGTAGTTATTCTGGGCAGAAGGAGAAGGGTACAAAAAGATATAACGAGTCCCAGGGAATGCAAAAGTTTGAACAAAAAAATCATTGAACACCTTTCTTGTTCCAGGTGCTATTTTGGGATCATCTGGAATGAGCTTTGCTGCCTGATTACCACAGTGGAAGTGTAATGCTATGGTGATTATGAGGTATTAGGCTGAGTGGAATAGTTAATAAATAACTGGTCTAGAAGACAGAGGCAATGGAGGAGCCGAGAGACAAGGACGATATTTATTATTTACTATGTGGACAGAGCATTACACTCAATTGCATTGTGATGTTCCATGTTCTTCTGTAAGGTAGAATCCCCATCAGAGATGAAAGATTAGTAAATGGAATCTCTGAGAAGAAAAGCATATGAAGACTGCCAGCTATGAAGACTAAAATAAATCCATCATCTTTCCCTGGTACCATTCTGCTCCAAGCAAGAAAGATTTTCTTTTAAAAAAAATGGCTCCAAGGACTAGAATTTCCTCCCATTTCCCCCACAGCATTGGAAACAGAGCTTAGTCATGCAATCAATGGCGATCGGGAGACTTTTATGAAAGAAGAGACTCCAGAGGGAGGCTGGATATAAGGTAGCCATCAGGGAGTCATTTCAGTTTGGTGCTTTGGACCACTTTGACCATCTTTCCAGACTAATCTAAAATCCTCCCTTCTTTGATAAGCCTTAATTGACCATTTCATCCTACCCTATTCTGCTCTGATTTAGAAGCATTGTCTGTGTAATGTATGTAACAATAACTCATTTCTGCCCTTGTGATAGCTATTCTACAATTGCCTTGAACTGAGATTTCACTCTGGTCTGACGATTTGTTTTTGTGTACATATGTCTACCCCAAGTTTGATTATAAGCACTGTAGGGTGAAGACTGTCATAAATATATTTAAAATCCTTTCTTCTTTACTGAACCTTAGCACAGTGATGAACACATTGGAAAGCCTCAACACATATTTACTCATTTCATATAAATGTCATGCAATAATTTCTGAACCAAAAATCTGATGGAAACCTAGTTAGCTTTTGAAGACCAGGTGTTTTTTATTTATTATCTGTGGTATTATGCAGAATTTGCCACAATAATTGGGAAGTAACTCTCGTCAGAGTCTTTTTCTCTTGAATCTGGGTTGGCTTTTTGATTTGTTCTGAGCATTTGAATGTGTTGAGAATGATGTACGAGATCTGAGCTTAGGCCTCAAGGACCCAGCTGAGCCCAGCAAAAGAACTGCTTAGCTAAGACCAGCCCAAATTGCTCACCCACAGAACTGTGAGTTAAAAAAAATGGTTATTACTATAAATCACCAGGTTTTAGGGTGATTTGTTAGGCAGCGAAAGTTGACTGATACATAATTTTCTTTAGTTACTGTGAAAAATCCATGAGATATATATTTTTGTGCTAAATTATGGGATAGGAAGCAAGGATTCAGGAGTAATGTGAGAAAGACTGATCATAATTAGTCTTTTTTTTGGGGGGGGGGCTATTGGAGATTGAATTCAGGGGCACTTGACCACCGAACCACATCCCCAGCCCTATTTAAATTTTTTTTTTTTGTTTAGTTGGACATAATACCTTTATTTTATTTATTGATTTTTATGTGGTGCTGAGGATCAAACCCAGCACCTCCCATGTGCTGGGTGAGCGCTCCACTGCTGAGCCACAACCCCAGCCCTCCCCAGCCCTATTTTGTATTTTATTTAGAGACAGAGTCTCACTGAGTTGCTTTGCACCTTGCTGTTGCTGAGGCTGGCTTTGAACTCACGATCCTCCTGTCTCAGCCTCCCGAGCTGCTGGGATTACAGGTGTGTGCCACAGCACCTGGCCATAATTAGTCTTTAAGATCTGTCATGAGTTAGCTTCTTTTAGTAAACATTACCTGGATGGGGAAACATAACAGGCAGCACATGTCAGCCAGCATTGGTCTGATGTGGCGGGGCCAAAGAAATGTTTATTGGCAGAAGTCAGGAAAAGTTCAGACCATGAGTTGCCTACAATAGCTTGAAAGAACAGGCAAAGCCAAACTTGAGAACTCCTGGGTCCGTATGTTCATGCTGAACTGAGATATCCTGGAGTTCCCAAAGAGGGAAAAAACAACAGGGACTAGTAAATTCACTGAACACATCTTATGTACCAGAGACTGGTAGGTTTCTAATCCACACAATGGAATATTACTTAGCCATAAAGAAGAATGAAATTGTGGATGGAACTAGAGAATATCATGCTAAGTGAAATAAGCCAGTCTCAAGAAACCAAAGGCTGAATGTTCTCTCCGATATGTGGATGCTAACCCATAGCAAGGGAAGGCACGGAGGGGAAGTATAGAAGTTCATTCGATTAGACAAAGGGGAATAAAGGGAAGAGAGAAGGGGGTGGGAATACAAAAGACAGTAGAATGAATCAGACATAACTTTCCTATACTCATATATGAACATAAGAGCAGTGTAATTCCACATCATGTTCAACCACAAGAATGGGGTCAAAATTGGAATGGGTTGCACTTCATGTATGTATACTATGTCAAAATACACCGTACTATCATGTATATCTATAAACAATAAATAAAAAAAAAGTCCTAGGTGAATCTGAGAGAAATTCAATAGGCCATATAGCTTGTAAGTGATTGAATTGGCAGTGAAGCTCAGATGTGTCTAACTCCAAAGAGGAATAACAACTTAAATGACGACTCCTTCATAATATTGTCTGGTCTGCAATATCATTTTCTACCTATCTTCTCACCAACTGAACAGGCTTCTATGTCCCACTGCATACAAAATTCTTTGGATGCCTTGAAGTAGAGTCATACATGCTGCAAACTCTTGACTTGTTCAATAGTGGACACAGAACAGTAGTTTCTAAAGCTTGACAGGATCAGGAGTGCCCCTCTGCAACATGATGTATGATAACATTATTTGGCTTATCAAGAATTCTACAAACCAGGCTCCTTCAGAGAGAACCGTCTCCTCTGCTTTGGCAGCAACGTAAAGAATGACCCTCGAGCAGAGGCCTTCAGAGACCCTCACGTGGTATTGTCATCAGGACTAAACAAATTGTAATCCCTTTCATTTATCTAATGGTTCATGCACCGTCTACCCATCTATCTTATTGAGTTGAGCAGCAAAACTTTGTGGGATTTCGCAAGGCAGCATGTGGGATTCCCATTTTATAAATCAAGAAAACTGAGGCTTGGAAGTTCCTTGTCATGCTGGAGGTCCCAAAGTTAATTTGTGGTAGAGACAGCATTGAACTTGGTTCTATGCTCTTCAGTGAGCCAGTGAAATTAACCAAGCCAGCCCCAAAGCACAGGGAGTGCAAAAGAGTGCTGGATGGGGCTCCTGTTCATAGGAACAGAAGTGGCTCAGAATTTGCTGAGCACCAGACCCTGCCCTAAACGCTTCGCTTAGGGCAGTCCACTTAATTCTCGTGACCACATAGTACTTACGACTCTTATTTTATACACAGGAAAATGAAAGCATAAGGCAGTTGAACAGAACTGGGGTTCAAAACCAGTCTAGATTAGAGACCTTTTGCTTAGCACTGTGCCACACAGCCTCTGTGCCAGGGCAGCACTGCCTCTGGGCTTCTTTGGGGAAAGTAGTAAGATGCTAAATAGTGAGGAAAGCTCCTATTGCTTCATGACCACAGGTCTGACTCCTTGGGTTCAAGTGTCTGCCTTAGCACTTAAAGCTGTTTGACCTTATTTCTTTGCTTTTTTTTTTTTTTTGTGCGTTAGTTTTTCCATCTATAAAATGGTATCTTGGCATTACCTAGTTCCTAGTTAGAGAGGATTGTTTTGTGTGTGTGTGTGGGTGGGGGTGGGAGTGGGTAGCTTTAGAATAATCCCTGGGCCTACAGTTAGTATGATTTGAGTGCATCATTCCAAGGGACCATTCTGTGGACTAATTTCCAGATACACAGCACAGATAAGTGCTACCAATCCTCAGAGGACGGAGATTTTATTTTTTGGTGGGAATATTTAGGACAGGCTTCAGTGAGGAGGTGAGGAGTTGTAAACCAGATTTCAAAGAACAGCACCACAGAATGGCGAGTTGAAGGGACTTCAGTATTCATGCAATCTTGTGGAATTTTCTCAGAAGCACCTAGGATGAGAGGGAGAAGTGACCTCTCCTTGTTTATCTAGCTAGTTGAGGCAGGACCTTGACTGAAAGCCAAGCCTCCTCACTTCCCAGCCTGTTCTTTTTCCTGCTCTGCCTCTGAGTAATGCCCCTCGCATCATTGGAGGCTGGCTATAGGATGCCTGCTTCCCCTGTCCATATGAGGAGGGTATCTCTCATGGTGCTCCCTGTAGTCCCAGTACCATGGGCTGCCTTTTTTTTTTTTTTTTTTTGCTATGCCTTTTGGAGAGATGCCTCATGTTTGACAGCAATGACAAAGACCTTGTATAAAAACAAGGGTCTTGATAATCTACAACTAGCCACCGGATACAAACCACCAATATATACTGGGCACCTCTGATGTCAAGGCTTATTGAATTTTCTCATTAATCACCATTAAGCTTCTGAAGTCAGTTGTTACCATCCTTTACAAGGCGTCTGGTTGTGGTATTTTAGTTTCAGTAGCTTTCTCAGGTCTCACAGTAAGAAAACGTTTTCACCAGGAACTCAACAATGGTCACATCCTAATGCTGGGACAGGAAATTGATTGTCTTGTCTGAGGACTACTGGTACCTGCTGGAGCACTACCATGGGGCATGCAGGATGGGTCTGAGGTCTGTTAATAAGAATGTGGTGACCAGGCAGCCATGTCTGCCTTGGACAGAGAATGGGGACTGGAAGTACCACAAGAGCGTTGCTGGCCCTGCTAATACCCGCCTGAGAGAGCAGCAGCAGCATCTGGGCTTGCTTTACTCTTCTGTCCATCCATCCATCCATCCAGCTATCACTCCATCTAATAAACTTTCATTGAGAGTGCATTTTGTGTAAGGCAACACATTTGGTGGTACGTTGCTAAGGAGATGCGTGCATTCCCTGTGCCCGCAGACGGAGGGGGTGTGATGAGGAAAGGGCTTGGCCTGAGGCTGAGTGCTTGGGGAGACCATGCAAAGGGAATCAGGCGGGTCGCTCTCTCTTCTGCTTCTGTGGTTGCAGCTGAGTGCCCAGCTGGCCAGCTGGCCACTGGCACAGTCTGCCTCTTTGTGTGAAAACCAGTGGAATCACATATGTGCTGCTTCCAGATGCGGTCTCGGCACCAGCACCTTCCAAGCGGGAGGTTCTGTCACGGTGTTGCCTGCCAAGCCTTGTCCTGAGGACTGAGGCCACTTGGCCGGCTGAACTGGGCTCTGTGCCTGTGCAGAGGACTGTCTCACCACAGAGAGGATCTGACTGCGGGTGGCAGCGAGGGGCGAGAGATTCTTTGTGCACATCGTGCCTGAGTGTGCACGGGGCAAGTGCGTGTGTGTATGTGTGTGTGTGTGTGTGTGTGCGCGCGTGTGTGTGTTTCAGTTGTAAGGAAGCCATTTCTCACTGTGTTCTGTACTTGAGCTATTTCCCTGGGAGAGAGAGACAAAGAGGCCTTGTGTGCTCTTCAGAGTGCTTTCTGCTGGAAAAACCCAGCCCAAAACCCCAAAGTCACCCCAAGTTCAAACCCAAATTGTACTGTGTAATGGTTGGAAATGACAGGAAGAGAGGGAGGTTCTGGGGGAAACAGAGAGTCCCAGTAGACTTTGAATAATGTGAGGGCAGTGATTTGATTTTTTTTTTTTGAGTGAGATCTTGAAGATCTTGTCCATTCCTCATGTATGCATACATAGAAAAATTGTTAGGGTCCACATTTCATTGCCTGA